TCTCTTGAACAGGGATTTTTTTCCCCCCTGCCGGCTGTATCTAAATGCATCATTGGAAAAAACAAAGAGAAATTGCAGTAAAATGGTACATGATGGCCCCCTGGGGTGGGGGTAGGCTTGGCTCTCAGACTTTCACACTTGGCCTTCTTCAAAAGTTTCGTACAGAATAAGATTTCACCTCAGAGTGGGGATGGAGTGGGTGGGGATGGATTGGGGCCATGTTCTGGGCTGGGATTTGAGAAGACAAGCTGTCGCTGAGTTGAGGGCTGCCTGGGTCTTCTCAGTGGAAGTACTGACCCATCTTACTGAATCAGGGCCTGCCTCAGAAGAAGTGCTCAGAAAGAAGAGTTTCTTCTCGCTCGACCTCCCAAGGGTCATTGGTCATTCTTGTCTTTGTGCTACACTTCGATATGCTACCTGAATTTACCATGTCCATGGCATGGGAGAGCCTTGTGAAACAGATGAACGAAAGCTCTTGGAAACCCATTTTATGTACCAAGATTTAGAGTTCTATTAAAAAAATGTCCATATAATAGAAGAGGTGTTGGTATCAAAGTTTATAAAACTTGAAGGCAGATTTTGATCTTTTATATTTTAAATTAATTAGGAGCTACCTAGATTTCTTTGTAGTCCCAATACATTTCATTACCACAGTAACTTAAAATCACAATGAGGCAATTTTAAGGTCTAAAGACAGTATGAGTTAGTGGAGCCTCCCTACCTATAGTAACCCACTATCCTCTTCTCCACTGCTTTTCTTTACTCTCCTCCTGGATGTAAAAAGCACTTTGGACATTACTAGACATTATGTAAATGCTAGCCTGTGTGATCTAATCACTCTCCTTTCCTGTACTGAACTCCCCCATCACACTCTGCATACTTGGTACTGAACCAGTTCTGACCAATCCATTTCTACCACCTCGTCCCTTGGGTACTTTAATAGTTTTGTTTAATAAAGTAATAACTCATAATGGGTTAATTAAGGACACTTAAGTATGCTAGGGTATAGCCCTCTGAAGGTCTGTAAGGAACTTCCCTAAGGTGAAGTGCTCACTCCTTCTTCTGAGTGCCTTATGTACTTCGTCTTAAAGGGGGTGATAATGATATAGCTCTTCTTCATTCAAACCAGTGAAGATGTCAGTGTGGCATGTGTATGTGGGCTTAATACTGTTAAAGTTCGGCCTCTGCATAAGCAAGAGGGCAGGAAACAGGACTGAAACACAGACAGAAAGAAGCTGAAGAGATTTTTTCCTAAGACCAACTCTGCAAAGGGAGACAACTATTAGTAATCACAATATATAGTCGTTGAACTTGACCATTTTTGATTCATCACCAGAAATTCTGAACAGGTTTGAAGCATGTTACACTTCTATAAAATACTGTTAGTTTTAAAAATCCAGTGGAGTTTGGAGAAAGTTCAGGTAATCGAACCCATTCTCTATGAAGGTATAATTCAGTCTTTATAGAAATTCCTACTCTTTCCAGAAAATTTCTGAGGCAAATGCAGCTTTGCCCAATAGCTTTGGGCCGCGGCGGCTGGAGAGGAGAGTGGCACTAAAGAAAAATGCTGACTGTTTTCTAAACCTTGACTTTACACATGGATTGACTCTGTCAGACCGACACCTGAAATGTGAGCTAGTCTTTATACCCCATGTGAGAATCTGAAAGGTGACTGAAGTTTCTAAGACTAGCAAGGCTGGTAGGTTTTAGAGTCACACACCTCCCAAGTGCTCTTTGTTGGTCTGCTGTCATCATGAGTCAAACCATTTGCTAGCGACCCGGCGCAGTGCAGACGGCCTTGGGACACTTTCTGAGCAGACGCTGAACAGTGAAGTCCAAAATACAGAAAGGTCATGGACTAGGGGCAGAACAGTTACAATTTGATCATTACTGATGAAGTAGTGGCATTCTGTGTCACTTTACTACATGTGGAATTTATTCGTTCACGTATTCACAAATCTTCATTGAGCATCTCTTACTTGCTAGACATGCTATTAGGGTCCCAAGGTACAGAAGCTAAATAAAACAGGATTATTTCTGCCCTCAGGGGGTCATATTCTACTGGAAGAGACTGAATATAAATAACAAGATAATAGCTCTCATTTACTCGTGCCAAGTGAGTTCCTGTTACTGTTCTAAGGGATTTGCATGCACTTGCTCACTTAAGCTCACAACAGCTATGTGGGATGGGTGTGATTATTATCCTTTTCTACAGATGACTGAGCTCAGGCCCAGAGGTGTTTGTACTGGTTCAAGGTCACACGGTAGTAAGTGGTGGAATCAGGATTCAAACCCAGACCCCATGACCTCCACCTCTGCCTCTGACACCATATTCTAAAAGAAAAGCATAGAAAGGGGATCGGGGATACCTAGGGACGGATTAGCCTTTGTTTCAGTCCCATCTTCCTTATATAACTACTGTTCAGAGTTTGGTGAATTTTCTTCCATTTCAACCAGTCTACGTACCTGGTTTTGCTGCTCTAAAAAAAAAAAAGCTGCAATTATATTGTACATACAATTTTTAACATGTAATCCTGAAGTCTGTCTGTAGGCCTTGAGTGTCTTTAAGCAATGACAGAGAAAGTCCTTGAAAATCATTGTTTAAGGCTTTCATGGCCCAAGAGATACTATTTTCTTACACTACGTTAAAAAAAAACTTAACTCATTGGGGAAGTATTCATTTACTTGGACAAAGTATATATTATAAAAATAAGCAATTTATCTTTATGAATCATCATGAAGGCCCACCTACATATTGAAATAACCGAAAGTCTCAGGTATCAAAATGATATTTAAATACTTCTATATCCTCTTGTGACTTAACCTTTGTAAGTTAAATTCATGTATCAGAATTGTAAATGCATTTATAATTTTAGAAAGTTCCACAAATTTTCATCAAGAACTCAGTAAAAATAATGTCTCTTTTATAAGCAGTGCTAAAAATGGGAAATAGGGGAGGGGATTTACAAAATCATAATTATAGCCAGTCTTTCCATAAAGTGTGTATCTGTTTAACTTTTAACGATGGTAAAAAGAGGAGTACATTGCACTCTGTGGGTTACACATCTCCTCTATTAAGAAAGCACATGAAACTCTTATTAGAAAAATAAGGAAATGGGTGGAGGAAAGGGAAGAAAATGTGCTTCAGACTTTTAAACTGTAGCTACTGACTTTCGCATCAGAAACCAGTTCTTACGTCTGAAACCCCAACTGATCTGAGCAAATTTTTAGCTTGTGAACTAATGAGTTTAAAAATGAAGCCCTCCTGTTGTTGCTTGATTTTCTTTCTGCTTCAGTTGTTCTTTCAAATAAAAATGCTGAAATGCTAAGGAAGCAGTTTTCAGAAATGCATTGGTAGCTAAATCGCAGCTGTACATTGAGATCACATGGAGGTGGATTTCATTAGCGTTACCTAAAGCCTCTATAACATTCTAATATTATTTAAAGGTGGAAAAATCAATGCTTAAGAAAGGGAACTTCTTAACCTGGCTAGACAAAAGCAGAGTAAAATTGCATGGTCATGAAGTCATAAAAAAAATCTAATCTTTTCCTTATGATTGCCACATTTGCTAAAACCTTGCTCTAACATTGATTTGATAGTCAATTCTTCAATATAAGACAAATTTGCTTAAATCTGATCCAAGGTAGGCTTTTAAAAAGCAATAATGTTAGACCCACGCACTTTACTTAGATTATCTTATTTGATCCTCATAATGACCATATGAGACAGCTGCCATAATTTCCTTCATTTTACAGATAAGGAAGTTGAGGCACAGAGATTGTCAGTAACTAGCCCACGTTTACAGTCAAGGAGTGGCACGGCTGGAATGTGAACATAGATAAGGTTTCCCAATCCCTTATTTTTTGTTACTTCCTCCTTCAAAATCTCCAATGGCAGCTAATAGCCTATCAATCCAATCAACAAGAGATAATATATCTCTTTGGAGATATCTTTGGAGAACAGAGAATGAAGGAAGGCATAGGGAACTGAAGGCACAATTTTTTTAAACCAGCTTTCATGCAAATTGCTAAGAGAAGAAATCGTGAGAGTTCTCATCACCAGGAAGAATAAAGTTTGTAGCTATTAGTGGTGATGGATGTTAACTAGACCTAGTGTGGTGACCATTTCACAACATGTACAAATATTGAATCATTAAGTTGTATACCTTAAACTAATATAATGTTGTATGTCCATAATATCTCAATTAAAAAAAAAAACAGCTTTCAGTTCACCCAGTGGGCTGGTGATTGTTTCTCCCTGATCCCAGATCCATTCTCCAATGTTCTCCATCCTGCTCTCACGCCCTCTGGCTTCTACTTGGGCTCAGCCAATGGGAGAATCTGATAGGAGAATGGAGGGTGGAGGAGAGAGAGGTCCAGGTATTTTTCCCCACGTCTTCCTACTTCAGTACTTGTCTCTGCAAGTAATTACTGCATCTTTTCTGCCAAATGTCTGCTCCTTTGAGCCTTATGGGTGCTACCAGCCTCCTATTGCTAGTCTCTGGGTGCTTCAACATCACTATTCCTCTCCTTAACCAAACTTCCTTAAGTCACCCCTTTACCAAAGTGGAACTTGAATTATCCAGGGGAAGTTCTGTTTCCTGCTGAGACCTGACTGATAGACTTTGTCTTTCTTGTCTTACTCCTCTCTCCTCTCTACAGAAACATATTCATTTATTCATTAAACAAACATTTACTGAACCAGGTACTCTTCCAAGGCTGGTAGTGAAGAATATCAAGTGAATAATATAGATAAAGTCCTTGCTCTCCTGGAGCTTAAAATACCTCGTGCTTTCATTTCCCTATGCTTTTGGTTCATTCCCTATGCCTCACTCATCTCTTGCCAACTGTAATTCTTTAAGCCCCAGTTGCAATATTTCTTCTTCAAAACTGCAACATTTCGACTTCGTTTCAGTTCTGTGAAGGGCTAAGTTCCGTGCTAATGACAAAGATTCTAAAAAGAATTCTGAAAGTATTTACTGGTCACCCTCGCATTCCAGATCTTCTTTCCAAGAATCCATAACTCTGAAAAATCCACAGAAGCAGATAGAATTTTCCTGAGTGGACTGCCACGGACTGTTTGCTGCTTTGAAACAGTTGACTTCCCTGGATGATGAAGAGATGTTTGTGTTGCAGAATAATTTACTGGATTATTAAAGTATTTTTCCCTAACCATTTCCAAACAGTTAGAAAGGCTTCGGGGCTCCTTTGCCTCAGGATAGGTGTGTGTTAAGGAAAGCAGAAGTTCTCCTCAGACAACGTGCCTTTGTGATTTTTGTTTCTAGAGGCCTGAACCCCTGAGGAAATCATGGTGGTGGGAGAGGAGAGATGAAGGCGGTTGGAGGCGGGAGAAGTAACTGAGTGGAGACTCAGAGAGGGCAGGGCTGCTGCACATAGTTCCAGTGAGGTGGCCGTGGCTGGGTGTCCCCGAAAGTCTGACTGCTAGTCTCTCAGCCAGGACAAAGGCCCAGGGAGGCCAGACCAGGGTGCTCCCGAGCTCCCTGCGTCCCCTGCCCAGATTGGCACCACAGTGCACAACCCCTCGCCTTCAGGGGACACAGGTAACAAGATGTAAGACAACCTTCCTCTCCTCTGAGGTTCAGTTTTCAATAAGGTAGTTACACACTTCAGAGGCTGGTGTGTAATTTCCTAGCAGCTGGACATACTGTCTACTTCTGCTTTTTCCAGCATCACTCGTGATATTTAGTTGACACCACCTCAAACTGTATCTAAATTTGTATGTGAATCATTCAACTGTATTTATAAAACCCTAAGCTGCTTATGAGAGAAATAAAATTTTAGCTCCCTGGGTGAGTAGGAGGATTTCTTCCCAAAGGCCCTTTTGTTTTCCCTGTCTGCTTGTAGTTATAGTAGAAGAGAAGGAGAGCGAGAAAGAGAGAGAGAAAGGAAGAGAGGGAACTGACCAAGTTCAAAAGATGTTTTATCAAATCATTGTCATTTAGGGTAGGAGTTGGCAAACTTCCACAGGCCAAATCCAGCCACCATCTGATTATGTATGGCCCATGAGCTAAGGATAATTTTTACCTTTTTAAATGGTTGAAAAAAATCAAAAGAAAAATATTTGGTAGCACATGTTACCAAATATTACCAGAGTTACATGAAATTCAAATGTCAGTGTCCATAACAAAGCTTTATTAGAATATACGTACGCCTCCTCATTTATGGGACTGCTCTCGCGCAGTTGAATAGTTGCAACAAAACCGAAAAAAGCCTAAAATATTTACTGCCTGGACCTTTATAAAACTTTACTAACCCTTTATGTGGAGTGAATGTGGTAATTCTTGTTCTTGGGTTTTAAACCTGGCTGTCTACAAGAGGATCTGGTCACCTAATACCCAGACTTATTTCTATTTATGTAAGGAGTGGATAAAGTTTATTACTCACTCCGGGGTAAGATCAGCATCAAAATAGACTAAGTCCCAAAAGGGGGCCATCTCTGTGAGTTAAACAGAAATCAATACATTTTGAATGTGCTTAGCCTGAGGAAGTTCTCCCAGAGAGATGATAATAATAGCTTCCACTTATAAGAAAGGGGAACCCTCCTACACTGTTGGTAGGAGTGTAGATTGGTGCAGCAGCTGTGGAGGACAGTATGGAGATTCCTTAAAAAACTGAACTAGAGTTACCATGTGACCCAGCAATGCCACTCCTGGGCATACACCCAGAAAATATAATTCAAAAGGACACATGCACCCTAAAGTTCATAGCAGCACTATTTACAATAGCCAAAACATGGAAGCAACCCAAATATCCATCAACAGATGGCTGGATAGGGAAGGTGTGGTATATATCCACAATGGAATACTACTCAGCCATAAAAGAGAATAAAATAATGCCATTTGCAGCAACATGGATGGACCTGGAGATCGTCATTCTAAGTGAAGTGAGCTGGAAAGAGAAAGAAAAATGCCTTATATGTGAATCTTAAAAAAAAAAAAGGGACACAAATGAACCACTTATTGTAACATAACTTAGATGATTTATTTCTTGATTATGCATAAGCACATTTGACTGTCCTTTATGATTGGACTAGCTCCCACTTATAGAACTCTTACAATAGTCCACATACTTACTAGCAACCCAATTTAATCCTCAAAACCGCCCTGAAAAGTAAGCATTTTAAAGATGATTTGAAGGTAGGGCAATGAGTCTAAAAATCAAAAGGTGCGTGGTGTGTTCAATCCACATAAAACTCTGGAGGTTGGAGAGCGATGAGAAACTGCTTCTTAAGTACAAGGCCAAGGGCTGGGATTTCTGCCCACCGGGCATGAGGTCTGGTCTTAGGGCAGATAAGAGCAACTTTACACAGTTGTCATAAAGCATTAGTGACCTATTCATGGAAGAACTAACAGTGTCTGGCAAGTAGTGGTTGCCCAACAAATGTTGGTTTATTTTCTTCCCCTTTTGTTTCTAATTAAATATTTACAAAATGTATGTGGGTTATGGAAAGACTATAAGTACATCAGAAATTAATACCAATGGTTATTGGGAGGCACTGGGCTGAGTACAGGGAAGACAGGGACAGGAATGGACACATTGCTTCTCTGCCTATTATTTTCATATTGTTTTGATTTTCAGCCATGTAAATATATTTGCTATCAAAAAAAATAAATGAAAGATATGTAATAAGGTTCAACTTGGGACCTCTGTATTTTAGAGCTTCCCTACTGAACAGGCCTACTCAATTTTATGAGATATATATATATATATATGTTTCATTTCATCTTATTCTTTTTGTTTTTATTTATTTACTTTGGAGTTAATTTATTCTTTGATTTGGAAACATAAGTATCCCAATTTCTTTGTTATAGAAATAACTCCTATGGATAATAGTGATTCTTAGCCAGTGGCTTATTTTTACAACTTAAACTTAAGTGTCTGAGAGCTTGTCACATCTGGTTTTCAGGTCCTTTTTTATCTACTGTTATTTCACTCCAGGAGCATTACTGCTACAAACACATGTATTCTGGAGTGGGTAAAATCCTATTTACCCATGCTGTATTGAATTAAATAAAAACATACTCAACAGTGAAAAGAATTGTTTATAAACACACTAAAACATTTCAGTGGCTTGCAGTTGTAGAGAGAAGCACGTGCTAGCTCCCTAGGAGGATGTGCACACCCTAGGGCCAGGACTGCCGTCCTCCCGGGGGCTCTGCCCTGCCCTTCCAGCAGCACCAGGCCACTTGCACGTCGCAGCATCCCATTCTGTTTCTCACCCAAGTGCCTAACGCTCGGTGGATGCTTAATCAATATTTGATAAATTGATGAATGAATGGCCAATAAACTCTCTCCTATTGATTGAATTTTCCAGAATGCTGCTCCTACCAGAGAGGAAGGAGCTGGGCCAAATTCTTTACCATACATACGGCCCATTTTCCTTAATAATTATGTGCAGCTTCCTAAATATTTAAATTGGCTTTTTATTAACCAGTCTCTCCTGAGCTTAATTAATATGGACTGAAACATCTATAAGGAAAGTGGTGAAAAGAGTCTCAAGACTCACTAAGCCTCTGGCTTAGAATGGACACCTCAAAGGAGGCATTTGAGAAACACGAACAACTTAACCCCCTGACGTGAGTCTAGCAAAGCCCCTGGGTCTGCACTGTGTCCCCCATCCATCCTGAAGAGCCAAAACCTCTCCAGAACTCTGCTTTTCACTGTCTATCTGAAGACTTCATAGGTCATATTCTGTTAATTAGAATAATATCCGAGGCTCTTTATCAACTGGTCCAATTTATTCTTTTGTTGCCATTTCCCGCAATAAAGCTGTCTGCTCTGGTTCTGCCAGTTTCCTAAAGACATGTGTTCTGTTCATTTCTACCCTCAAATCTTCAACCACATTCTTCCCCTTAAAAAAATCCTGAGGTTTGCTTGTTTTTAAAGAGATTTGTTTGTTTTTAAAGTGGTTTGTTTATACCAATTAAAACTATATGTCATAAAAGCCTAAGTAAAACCCATCTCTTTCCCATCTTTCTTGGCACCTGCTGTTTATACCATAACATCTGACACTTGCCTCTGTGTGCCCTAATTGCTTCCCCGTTGCAAGTAGGAATTTATTTATACCTCTTATCTCCTCAGATAGAAGGACTGTTCTTCTGAGACATAGTCTGTGTCTTCTCCTTCTTTATTATTTCTTGCAGGGCCTACCACAGAGCTGGCTGGACTGAGTAGCTGTTCTAAGGATACCAATTAAATTGAAAAAAAAATAATAAGCATTTTCTAATTGGGAAGAATAAAATGAATACATCATACCTGCCATGATAGGTGTTTATTCTTTGTTAGCTAAGGTCATGCTCACAGAATGCTGCCAAGTATGTACTACTAGCCCCATCTTTAAGAGATGAAGACAGATGTTCACAAACATTAGCAATCCACCTAACACCACACAGCTCGTATGTGGCAGGGCTGGAAAATCTGCTTGATGTCAAAGCTTTTTTCTCTCTCTCTCCACTTAGTCTTTTATTAGTAGCTGACAATGGTGATATCTTTCAGACTGAAGGATATAAAATGTTACTATGCGTTCTTAGTAGGTAAATTGATCGAAAAAAATTAGTTTTGGCTATAAAATGGCATTCTTATCTTTCTTTAAAAATAAGATCAAAATTGCATAAAGGACAGCTTCTCTTTATCGAATAAAATATGGAAACAAGGGGGGGCGGTCATTAGGGAAATAAGGCCAATAGTTAGGGAAATAAAGCCTTGCCCATCTTAGTTAACTAACAAAAAAGTCCTGAATTTAGACGAACTTCAGTCTCCCTGATTTCTTGGAGAGGCAGCAAGAATATCGAGGTAAATTTTCTATTGCCTGCAAAAGGGTCTTTGAAAGACAGATTTTTTCTTTCTTTCTCTCTTGTTTAATTTTAGGAGGCAAACTAAGATAGTGAGTTTAGTTTTAATTTCTAATCTTCCCCAAATAAAATATAGGCCCAATATGCTAAGAAGGAAAAATGGCAAAACAAAAACCAAAAAACCTGTAAACATCTTCCTTGAGACCCAGATCCTCTTTTCCACTATAAACCTCAGCCACATTACCCGTTCTCCCTGCCCTGAGCCCGCTACCCACCCAGAAACAGTCTATGTTTGTTTTCTCCTTTTTTCTCTGTGGGGTTTTTCCTTTCTCTGAAGGGGAGACTCCAGTGTCATGTGGCGGGTGTGCTGGGTGTAGGCAGACTGTATCTCTAAAAGCTGCCTGACCCAGGCAGGATGGCATATGGCAGACGGAAGGAAGGATGCAGCATGACTCACAGCCAGGACCTCCCCCTGAGAAACTTTCAAGCCCCTGTTGTGAAATGACTACAGAAAAATCCATTTTATTGACATCTTTGTTTCTTGTTGTTCCCACTGCCTTTCCTCCCAGTGAGGTCTGGAAATTCATGTGAAACCCCATACCCCTGTAAGTCCTCCAGCTGACAGACAGCATTCTGAGGCTGGATAGCAAGAGGAAGGGAAAGGATGAGGGGAGGGAAGGGGCTTTTCTGAGAAGGTTGAAGCTTTTTTAAAATAGAAAACCCATTTCCTTTTATTCTAACCTCAGGCTTGTTTTAATTTTAAGCTATTAATTTGAAATAGCTAATCAGTTGCCATGGGCATACACACATTGCCAAGACTGCAAAATACCTGTCCTTTTCTAATCAGCCCCAAAGTGATCATGATTTATATGTACAACGGTCACTTAGCCTGAAAAGCCCAGACACTTTCTGTAGGATAATTTGCAGAGATTATTCAGTAGGATTTTTAATTAATTTTTTTTAATTTTTGTGATTTTTTTT